AGTTATGGTCCTTGATAGATTAGAAAATGGGCATATAAATCGGCAGGTCAAATCAGCCTGAAAGCGCCTTCTAAAATAATGAATCCGAGTTTCTGTTATCTTGACAGTCCGATACTTGCTATAACTTAGTTAATAATTTGCCTATTTTGCTTACTACACTTTCGTTAATTCTTTTGTTATAAATTGGGCCGTTATTTTTCTCAATTGAATTTTCATATTTTTCATGTCGCAGTCTTTTAAAGCCGACTATACGGTATGGGTTTTTCTCATTGATGAAGGTTCTACGGTTGCCTATAATTGCTTACATCCACTTCATTTGAACTTGAGTGGATAATTGTCTCATTGGCACTCATACCACACCTCCTCATTTTTATATATGTCCTTAGCTGCTGCATAATGATACGTGTATTTTAATGCTTTGCTAGTTTGCTTCATTGACTAATATTAATGATCACATTTAGACATATATTTTTGCAATAATTACAATGCATATTTTACCTACAATGTTATATTGTGTAAATGTTCTTGTTTCATAGACACGACAGAGTTATCCCTCTTTACACTAGTATTATAGTATTTTTATTGTGTATTGTGGGGTCTGTATGTTTGTCTACGTTGTTACAGTTGATTGTTTTCTGAGACCTCTAAGAATCTATAGTTAACCTAGGTCCAAGATAAACTTATAAAGATTGATTACAGAATAAGTTTTGATGTCGTGTCTTTTCTGTAACTCAGAATTTTGCGCCTTACAATCTACAAATTTAATTTACGGGTAAATGTAAATGGATTGAAGGGCTTAATTTTATCGCTTTCTACCATTTTTTATTAAAGGATTTATTTAGAGCTTATATAGAAAGATTTATGAATCAAATAGATAATTGTGTATGATTTTATTTTAAACAACTTAAGAATGTCACAAAATTAAGTCCAATATTACATGATTGATCATTTGAACTACATGAGCTAATAAAACGATTTTGTACATTTTGTTTTAATTTCTATTTTCATTTGAAACATAATGGTAATCAATACAATACAATATAAATGGGATACAGTTTAGTATACGATTATTCAAGAACCTTACAAGAACAAGTCATTTTTTGATAACACCATCATTAAATTATACGAACAACTATGACGTGTGTATTGTACTATAAAATGTAAAGTACTCATATCATATTTAATAAAACAAATATCACATTCCAAAACAGACTAGAAAGTGCTGAACAACATTATTTTGTTAATGTAAGTTGAAAATGAAGTCAATGTATAAAAGATATAAAACAGCAAAGAATTGATGCAACAATAAACTGTAAAGAAAACCAGCGAACTGCAAAGAGAACTAACGAACTGTACAGAGAACCAATAAACTGTACAGAGAACCAATACGCTGTACAGAGAACCAACCAACTTGCAAACAAAACAAAGCAATATTACACAATCGTTTGCTTCGTGTAATATGCAATCTTTAAAAAAAGATTTTAAGAATAATATATAACAAAGGCCATTTAAAAAAACAAACATTAAATACAACATGTAACACAACTGTTTTACTATTTGTCATGGTAAAAGGCTAAAACTTTGACTTTAGAACCTCACATGTTTTGAGTAAAAAAGTGTTGAAAGATTTACGTGACGCCTATGACATTGTTGCTTTGATAATGTATTCATCAATAGTTACAGTGCTTAGCAATGATGCATTTTAACTATAGTTCAGATCAGTAAACAATCAATGGAAACCAATCATTTACACATGCCAACTATTAGGTTTAAACTTATTGTTTGCACAGGTATATATCATGTTTGACAAATTTAAAAATGCGTCTCATGTTAGTTTGATTAAATTTTCATTAGTTTGGTATGGAAAGGGATAAAACGGATATTCTAAAATTAATACTTAAAACGAACAGCTTATCACATTTTTAATATCAACCGCAGCACAATATTGTGTCAATAATACAATGAAATTGGATATTCTATTATTCATAAATTGGTTTCATTTTCCTATTCAAGTGTTTTAGTAATAATACTCATCAACTTTGTACTTGATAAGTTGCTATCTCTAATTGAGCCATTTCTTATTCAACCAACAGGACATCTCAATACGATATTTTTTCGGAGAAACCGTATACATGGTATATTAATTAAGTAAAAAAAGTTATTTTAGCGGAATCGCAATTGGTACACAGCTTGTAATGCCAAAAGATTCTGAAGACAAATGATATATGTAAAAATACATAAAGATAGTTTGCCGTAGTTGACACCAATGTTGACTAAGAAAAATCGTTTCAATCAAACAATTCTAATATCCAACAGTTTCCTATAGTTTACCATTTTGGATGTATGATTTATGTTGTAGTTAGTAGACTTTTGTTTGTTTTCTGAAAGGAAGATATTCAATAAAAATACATATGCTTTTTCCTTTGTTTAAATTACTAATATTGGTAATAATAACCATACAAGTAAATCATTATTTTCCTTCTGCATGTTTAACACGTTAGTCTTTACGTTAACTTGTTGTGATTGTTTTCAATCAATCAGATGAATCAAGCAGATTTTACTGTGACACCAGTCCTGTTTTATTGACTGACAAAGAAAAAAAAAAAACAAGCTAGAAGTAACTTATCAAGAAAACTTATAAACAGAGTAATGACTGAGTTAAGATAAATGGAACATTTATGACGCAGATATTCCGTTATGATCATTACACTAGATGATGCCCATTAAATGTTAAACAGACGATAATATTTTCTAAAAAGAGTCAAGTAATATGCTTGTAATTGCAGGATTATGCAAATAAACAAAATTTATCTTTTAATGATATATATTGCTGGCGCTGAATATTCGGACTTGATATGTTTAACAAAAAAACACGTCAAAAAAAAAATCAATGGCGTCATATACGTAACATTACAGTCATTAGAAAAGCTACAACAGTGAAGGAAGTTGTAGTTTGATATGGCCACTGTCTTTAAGAATAACTATAGGCGAAACGTATGACTTGACCGTTTACTCAAACATTTTTGTTTGAAATTTTAAAACAATAATTGTTTTATAAATTATTGACTTTGATTGTTCTGCTTTAAAGGGTGACATTATCAAATATTGACACAAGTATTACACTTGAATTGGATCCTCCAATTGACTCATTCCTAATCTGGGATTGTTTAAAAACACGAAGGATGCGTATTATGATTAAACAGATTATTTTACTTGCCGTGTACTATTATAATATTAGCTTCATGACATCTTTTTAAATGTCTTCATTCTGACCTTCTCACGTAAAATGAAGTATTAACGAAATGTAACAGAGACCAGGATAGAACGATTTAAACATCCTGAATCTTTTCACAGGATTAGCAAAACTATAAATAAACACAGAATAGACCCAACAATTAGGACTATACCCTTTATCAATGGTCTCGCCATGCTGTTAAAATTCATATCAAAATAGCATTATTAAATATCTGGATAGAATAGCATGGATGCATGAATGATAATTTATTTGTAAAAGAAGATACGATTTATTTTTAGATATTTTATTTTACATTAAATGGCTTTCAAAATAACAAATACGCCGTTTCTAAAAAAATACTTGAAATACTCGAATTATTTAAAAAAAAAAAAAAACTGGTTTATCTAGCTCATTATACTTACTATGCTCTTTTTTGTATCATGATCGTCTTTGTAGATTTATTGACATCAAACAAAACTTCCCAGCATGCTTCTCTGAATTCAATAATCTCCTTTTGCGGTTTCAATATATGCATTAAAATGAAATACAAAGTATGTTAAGCAAAATGTAAAGAAAAATACAAGTACTTATTCCCTACAGGTTTCTTAGTATAACAAATTGTTTAACATGTGTGTGTACATATATTAGGCGACAATTTCGAATAGATCGCGACTTTTGTACATATAAGTGTGGACTGAATGTATTTATTGCATGTAATACTCATTTACAAATATGAATAAAAATAGAATGCGAACGGCAATAATTCGTTTATAACTTTATATGATAACTTAAATATTATAAGTTGATGAAAACATGAAGAACATTTTACCCAATCTATCATATTTGTTGGACCATTTCATACATTTGATTTGGCGAAACATAGTGTAGTTGGGATGCTGTCTTTTTAATGAATATCAGTCATTTCAATATGATCAACCTTTCATTGTATGACTATGGTCGCTCATTCTATGCATGTACTCGGACATTCGTCATAAAATAAAATAAATGAAAACATATTTAAAATATATGGCAAACAGTTTCAAGCTTGTAATAAAAAGTATACATATTGGTGGAGTTTGTACAAGTGTACCAAAATCAGACCCTTCAACGAATTTACTTGCTTATTGATAATAGCCTTTCTTTTGTTTAATGTAACTAGAGTAATACTATATGTGTATAGTTTGACAAAAACATTTAATCAACAGAGGTTTTAGTTTGTAACCTAGATTTGTTTTTGCTAAATGGATTTATGACTATTGAACAACGGTATACTACTGTTGCCGTTATGTAAGATTGGTTAGCACAATTACGCATGAATTGTTTTTAAATTAGTCATTATATCAATGCTATTCAAAAAGAATTTCAAACACGCAATCACTTGTTTCAAGACTATTGAACAACATCGGAAATGCATTTGTTGAAAATTGAAAATTGATTAATGAATTAAAAAGCGTACATAATTCATGAGCACACATCGTTGGAATTAGTGAAGCATTCTTATACATATTAGAAAAGCTTTAAAAGCGTCGGTTAGTACACACTGTAATTGAAAAATCATAAAAAGTATCCAATGATCAATATGATAAATAGTTACACAAATTAATCGCGTAAACTTTTATATGTTCTTTGACACTTTATACAATTATAGATTAAATAATAGTTTTCATGAACATTGTAAACATCTAAAAAGATAAGTATACATTAAATCTTTAAACACAACACAACAACTACCATTTATACTACTACGATATCACTTTGTCTAGTACAACTAATTAATGTTATAACATAATAATAGAAATGGTATCAATCAAAAGGTATAATATTGAAAAAAAAAATAACAATTTAATAGATGAAATATTCTAACATACATCTCAGATATATTAATTTATCGGTGTCTGCTTTCCCCCATTTTATTTTCATTTAACACGACGAGTTTGAGTTACAATTTGAATAATGAAGGATAGATAAAGTTTATTTGCTTATTTACTGATATATTCTTACCTTCCTGTTTATAAATTAAAACTCCATAAATCTGTGTTGTTTCTGTGTGCACAACAGCTGGGATTTGTCCTGAAGATTTGTGTATCTTTAGAATTTTATTAGAACTTGTATAGAAGATGTATTCACCACCGATGTCAATTTCCCGGTTAACGTATTGTGCATTGGTGCTAACCAATGTTTTGACATCAGAACCATTATACAAAGCAGATTTCAAGTCACCGTTGTCAAATCCCATCCAATAAACTCGCTTGTCAACAAAATCTGGAATAACATCTAGATAACAAGCATTTACGATCAAAGAAGTAACCTGCGTTTACAAAAATCACATTTACTGTATTCCTAATAAATTGTAGGTTAATGTTAATCTTAATGATGTGTCAGTCTGAATAGTCTTTTAGTGCTTTTTAACAAACCAAAATTATTGACTTTCATGCATGCATACTGTTTTCAGAGAAATCATGTGTCTGGATATATATAGTCTTAAACGTTTGAATAAATCCTCGACGGCTTTGAACTGTATCTATCTAACACGGTTCAACATTGTTAAACATTTTCATATAAGGGAAAGATAAAAGTTTAAACAATAGATGCGACATATTCATTTTGATATTCCTGATTTACTAATATATAATCATTCAACTCCGGAGTCTATCTATATATGTGGATAACAAATCGGAGTAAATTTCATACAGCAAATTCCGGGTAATTACAGTATAATGTGTTAGGTCATATCCACTGTATACCTTCAGCCATTGTCTAGGTTTAAATGTTAATTTTTGACTTTGATAAAAAATCCTTTCATCACACAGATATAATACGGTTACACTTATCAATAACATTTTTAATTCATTAACTTCTCTATAGATAACATACCTACTAGTATATCTATCGGTCGTGCTGCCAGGTTTAATACTACCTGTTTTTCTTTTCCGTCAAATGTCACCCTGTGCATTGCATTACTTGCTTCTTTACTTTAGTAGATCCATCTAATAATGTTGTCAAAAGTAAACATTGAAATAATCTTTTATACTGCCTCATATTGAATTTTAAATACAGTTGTATCTGATGTTCAGCAAACAACACAGGAAATGGACCAGTCAACAAATTAAAAGATAGATAAATAACATCAATAAGAAGGCCAATAATGCACTGAATAATTAGATAAGTAACATTTTACCATACACAGTACTACATTTGTCAGTACTAAATATTCGGCCTTCTTGACATACCAAAACAAATGTTTTCATTATACTTACTCTACTAAAGATTCATGATGCCTCAAAACGCTGACAAAACGCTTGTATTACCTTGGATGCAGTGGAAAATGTTTCAATATGAATATATCAAGATCCTGACTTATGGCTAGGACGAAGCAATAATGTGCTACACATGTATATACACGACAGTGCTAACTATGACAACCCTTATTGAAATCATGGGATGGGCAAAGTTACCCTCAAAACTATGTGGATAAATGGTAACATATTCTTGAGTATCAGGCTCTATAAGTGGGATGACCGTCATCCTTTACATTCAAAGTTATGCTTACGTAATAGTTAATCACTTTTGATCATCGAAGATGCAACAATGGCATATCAAAGGGTATGTTAAAGGAATGAATAAGCATGGCATATGTCCCACTAGACATGAAACACCAATCATCATCTTTAACAACAGGTTCAATATAAACATAATACATGTGGAGTAAAAGTCGATGAAATGACAAGCCAACATAAATGATCAGAATGACATCTAGTGGACCAAACGATCTTCAACAAAGACACGTCTTTAAATATACTGAGCTCTAAATGGTCCCGGCTACAAAATTTGTGAAGAAGCTTAAGAGAAATTCACATACATTCGCAATAAACACCGAATTGAGAAAAAGCAACAAACTATCAAGATACTAAGTATAATGACATATGACAACAATTGACAAGATTTCAGACTTCGGACCGTCAAATTGATATATTGTACTTTTAAAGTATTTTTTGTTAGATCTATACCTATTCATTCTGTAATCTCCACTAATGCAATAATAAATACACATGAAAAAACGTTACAGGAAATTACTGCAATCAAACGCTATAATAAATAATAAAAAAAAAAACGAAATAGTAAACAATATTTAATTTTATCAAACAGTACTGTTTCTCAGTTACGTAAAACAAACAAGCTCAAAGAAAAACATGTTGTTAAGGATAATACCTGTTAGTATTGTTTTTATTTTTTGATATATAGATAGGAATTATAGTCATTTCGTACCCTAACCATATCGTACCCCCACCTCCATTTCGTACCCTGGCAAGCATATAAAACTGATTATAAACAAGAATTTTATTTGACATACCCTTATCTTGATATAATTGATTGATTGATTATTTGGTGTTTAACGCCACGTTCAACACTATTGTGCTATCTCGTGGCGGTCAGTTTTTATTGGTTGAAGAAGCCTGAGCGCCCGGAGAGAACTACCGACCTTTGGCAGGAAAACAATCCTAGTCAATAAAGATAGGAGTCGAGCGCACCTGCCACTTGCGGGATTCGAACTCACAACCTCAGTGTTAACTGACTAGTAATACAGTAGTACGACTACTTAGACCACTCGGCCACGGAGGCCCCTAAATCTTGATACAAGAAAACTTATATGCAAATTTAGAATTAGTGATCATTCCTTCGCTATTGAAACTGGAAGATATAAAACAAATTCCACGCCCTCAAAGACTTTAAAATAAGTGCAAAGTTCTGGATGATGAATCCCATTTCTTTCTATTATGTAAAATAAATAATGATTTAAAACATGTCTTTTTCAATGATTTAAAAACCCATTTCAAAGATTTTTCTGATAATAAAAAATGAAATATATTATAATCCAACTTCTAGTCAGCAAGTGAAATTTTTAGGCTCCTTTATTAAACAGTATATGGAACTGAGGACAAGGGGCACTTGAGGCCATTCGTTGTGTTTAATATTTTGTTGTATTTTTTAAGTAAATGTAAATGTCATCATTGTCCTGTTCTGTTGTGATTACATGTAATTGTAATGCCTTTGATCCTCTTATGGGTGTAATTTGTGCTTTATAAAGTTATATTAAAAGTCAGTGAGGCCTCTCTGTAAATCTTTTTATCGATTGTAACTAAGTTTTCAATATTTCTTCTTTTGTGTTGAAAAAATGTATTTGTATTTCATAATAAAACACTTTTTGAATCTCCATAACATTTGTAAACATCTTATAATTCAAATCTTTTCGGGTCACAAAATGAATTACTTGAAAAAAACGTGAGCACTAAAAAGCAACAACGTATGTATTGTCTGTACTAAATAATTTGCCAATAATGCTTTTTGTTCTTTAAAAAAGTAGATGTATTATAGATAAGTGCTTTTGATGCTTCAGAATATATTGTTTTACATACGATATGAGCCATATAAATCAAACGTTTCTGCATTTATCACATTTTAAATATTTTATTTTTTGTGTTTACAATATCACATTCAAATTGGCCAAGCGGTACAGATTTATCAGTTCACAACCCATGCATCTTGCTGACGTTGGGCCAACGTAGGATAAAGATTGTACCATTGGTTTATTATAGACGTTGGAATACCGACGTTGGGCCAACGTTGGGGTAACGTTGGATAAAGATAGCGTTGAATGACCAACGTTGAACCAACAATGCCACTCTAATTGATTATGATAGGTGCAACAGTGCATTTGATTTGTTGACATAATGTTGGGGAAAACAGTGTATCTTGTTTTTATTTTGTGTTGCTAGTTGGTTATTTATGACATGTTTTGTGTTCTAATAAAAAAATACTATTGACAATTTGTTGGCTCATCGTTGGTTGTTCGATTATGATATTATGACCGTGATGCCGTTTGACAATTGCTTTTAATCTGTGGCAAACCTGTTGTCTGTTCTCATATCCCATCACTGTAACGGACTGTAATTTATGTCTATACGGCTGTCATACAAGTGAGAGGTTTAGCTAGCTATAACACCAAGTTTAATTCACCATTTTCTACATAAGAAAATGCCTGTACCAAGTCAGGAATATGATAGTTGTTTTCCATTCGTTTGATGTGTTTGTCATTTGATAAAGGACTTTCCGTTTTGAATTTTCCTTGGAGTTTGGAACTTTTGTAATTTTACTTTTCAAAAGACATGTCAAATCTATGAAATTATATTGAATTCTTTTATTATGTAAAATAATGGTTCACCGTTTTCTTAGCTTTATGTGTGTTTATAGTTGGCCGATGGTGTTATTTCGGTTTATCGTTTTGCTGTTGGTATCTAAGATTGGTGTTGTCGATATCCTCATTGACAAATGGTTAAAATAATGCCCAAGTTTGTATTTTTGGGGTAATATTTATGATGCATTTTTTCGTGGTTTTTCTTTTGTTCTGTTTTAAGGTTTCATGTTTATGCTGTTTTTTTATTTGCTGTAATCTTATGTTTATTTTACTTTTTTTATTTGAATTTATGTTTATTTATTTTTTATTCTGTCTTACGAACAATATTCGTACATGCATTGTGTAAATCCGCATTGTTGAACCATTAACAAAAAAAAAGATAATGGTAATTGTGTAAATAAAACCTTGTCAGTTTTCGCCACAACTGTCTATCATGACATCTGGAAATAATAATCCTAGTGTAGATAATCTATATAGCTAGCAACAGGTAACTTTAACTATTAAACAATCACACATGAGAGATCAGCATGAACAAGAAGAAGACATAAAGTAAGTTTTATATCGTGTTTTGAATTTAACTTTTAATGGATAAATTAATTCATAATATATAGAATGCACATAACTGTTCCAGTCGAAATTACTAAATCTTCTGCGAAAGGAATCCGTCAGACTCATTTTCATTATCAATCGTGTATTTTATTTTGAAGACAATAAGTTTTTCTAATCATAAGTATATTCTTTGAAAGATGACCGAGTATTAGTTATATAAGAACATACAGTACTGACGCTGCTTAATATGCTTTCTTCTACAGTTCATAAATTCAGTTTTCTTTCACAAGAATAATTTTCATAATCTTCTAAATTTTTTTTCAACACTATCTATATTTTATTGAATCATTCTGGTAATTTGTGTCTTCCCAGTATGGATACTGTCTGGATATGTCTTAACGCTGTCTTAATGTGTCGCAACACATTCTGAACAGTCTTAACACTGTCTACATTTGTTGCAACATATTCCAAACTGCATTAACACTAACTGAATTTGTTACAACTCATTCTTAACATTCTTAACAGTCATTACTCAGTCTGATATTGTCTGGACACATTCTTATCCGTCTTCACTTTGTCTGAATAATTTGTCATACTTAAATGACAAAAATACCAAACTCAAAGGAAAATTCAAATCGTAAAGTCCCTTATCAAATGGCAAAATCAAAAGCTCAAACACATCAAATGAATGGAAAACTGTCATGTTCCTGACTTGGTACAGGCATTTCCTTATGTAGAAAATGGTGGATTAAACCATGATTTTATGAATAGCTAAACCTCTGACTTGTATGACAGTCGCATAAAATTCCATTATATTGATAACAATGTGTGAACAAAACCAACCTTGAATTTTAGTTGATTTTGATAGGACACTGTTGCATCCTAATATTTAAATTCTTTGTCAAACTGCACAAATATCAGTAATCATGATAATTCAGTTCATACGCTTTTCTTCAATTTGGCGTCTAGATATATGTAAGTTATGTTTAGTCTTTAAAAATCTTTTTCTGTTGAATATCTTCGCTGCAATTGCTCTTCATCCGTGAGAGTGTCATTATGTCTACGAACATTCAATTTGATATGTTACGTTGCAAAAAGAATACCAACATGAATTTAAAGGAAAGGCAGTGGTGCGCCGACACGATTCTATATAATGTGTGACGTTGGCCGAACAATGTCTTACGTTGTTCCAACATTAAGCATGTTAAGCTAATGTTTACTTAAACAAAATTTAACATTGGTCCAACGTTGGGTTAATGTTATCTTAAACAATATCTCACGTTGGTCCAACATCAGGCAAATGTCATTTTTTTCAATATATAACGTTTGCCCAACGTTGGATCAATGTCATCTTTAACAATATCTTACGTTAGTTCAACGTTGGGCAAATGTAATTTTAAACAATATTTATCCTTGCCCCAATGTTTGGCCAACGTTATCTCACAAAATTTTCAACGTTGACCCAGCGTAATACCATCACGCTGGATCAACTTTGGCCCACTTTGCACTTAAAACGTTAGGCCAACATTATCCTCAAATGTTGGGGCAACGGAATTAGATTTGTTGGGCAAACAAAATTTGATTTGTTTGGCCTACGACAGTCTAACATTAGATTACTATCTTGGATTAGACTGTTCTTGATCTTAAATATTATGTTGAAATCTAAATTGTAGAAACAAATATTAAATATTGAACTTAGAAAAAAAACCAAGTTCAATGATACGGAAACCATGTTAAATAAACTTCCACGATAATCGACAAAAACACTTCTATGTACATGATTAAGTTAGTATGGGTATTATATAAGTAGGACAATTAATTTGTATATTCCGATTGAGCTCACATTTTCAAGCTTAGATAAAGTAAGACCTAAAATAATGAACCGTTTAAAATGCTTCATAAACATTTGTGCTATTTTGTGAACTACAGATACAAAAACGAGGTATAGATAGGTTTTACAAATGAGAAACCACAAATCAATGTTATTATAAATACATAAAGATCAATAGATCAATGAAAACATTGTTAAATAAAATCAATCATTTACTACGTCATGGATTTTAAAAGGATTGCTTTTCACTAAGTCGTCTGTTTTGTTTCAAACTTGTAGTATTGTTCAGGTACATCTGGCGTTACAAAATGTTACATAAAAGCCACATAAAAGTTTGTTAGTTTTTATAAATCTAAAAATATTTTTGTAAATGAAACTTTATCTATTTATCATTTGCAACATATGTATGTATAACACACTGAAAATAAAGAAAATGTTATGGAGACCGATTTTGTTTTGTAATCAAAATAAACCTATCAAGTTAATCAGATACAAAGAAGTTTGAAATGTATATGAAAACATATGTAAGACTCAAATCGACGTCCGGTCCCTAATTAAAGTCTGTTCCTCAAATCGACGTCCAATGATCTCAAATCAGTGTCCAATATTTGCATTTTCATATTGAAGTCCAAAATGAAGTCATGTATTACCAAAAGGACGTTCGATTGATTGGAGTCTCCACTCATCGAGTCTAATATAATTGAATCATTTATTTTTAGTTCAATCTTTGTTTATATTATCTGCATCATTAGGTATTGTGTAAAGCTGCTTAACATAACTAACTTCTTTTTTTACATCTTCTTCAAAATAAAAGGACAAACATCAGAATATGATAATGAGACAACCACCGACATCAAATTACATGTTCATGCATATTAATATTTTGGTGAAAGAAATTCATCCTCTCAATCTACGTTGTCGTCTTCCTTTCATGTTCATAAAAATAAATGTGGATATACAACGATGAGACAACAACCCAACGACAAAGATAACTGAAAGACAAATGGAGGGCTCTATACAGTTTCGAACAATAGACATAATAAAAAAGAACAGTCAATTGTTGACAAGTTTTATTTTGACATAAAATGTTACATTTTTCCACACCCTTTTGAGTTTAAGATCCATTTAATGAAGTTGTCACTACAACTTTGCGACCTGTCCGTAAAATGGATGTCGATAAGAGAAGCCAAAAATTAGACGTCGATTAGAGGGGCAAAGAATAGGAATCGTCAATCTGAGTTTTACTTATAAAATGTATGCAAATGATAGAATTAACGAAAAATCTTAATGAGAACATGTACTGTATTACAATTTCACTAAAGATGTACCTCGAAAAGTAAAAGCGCGTGCGCTTTCAAGTGCGCATAAACAGTAAACGTGCGAAACGTGTAGTAAACTCCCGTTTACTACTGACTAAACAGGCAACAAAGTAAACGCTGTTTTTTTTCAATTTAGGAGAACATTTGAAGTTTCTTATAGACAACATTCACGTAAATATAGTAAAAACGCGTTTACTAGATAGCTTAGAAAAAGCGAAATGTGTGATGACAGCGTAAACGTGCGTTCAGTTTGTGTTTTGCTTTGTTCTGATAATTTCTGAACATAATTTATCAAATTATCTCAATAGGCCTAGCAATGTCTTACTTTTATCATTATATGCAATAGCTAGATGCACATAACTTTTAATTTTTTAAAATAACTTTTTTTGGGATATTGAAGTACACCGAACCTGTCTTAACATCCAAAATTTCAGTCAAATCTTACCCATCTTGATGTTACATTTTGTAAGCTATGTTTAAAGTAAGGTTGAGTTATGTACAATTTTTGGCAAACAGAAAAATAAAAAAAATACCGAACTCCGAGGAAAATTCAAAACGGAAAGTCCTTTGGGGGATAAAACCTTGTTGTATAGCTAGCTAAAACTCTCACTTGTATGACAGTTGCATTGAATTCCATATTATTGACAATAATGTGTGAGCAAAACAAACAGACATAATAGGTAAAATTGTCCAAAATTTGGGTACAGCAGTCAACATTGTGTTATAATCTTAATCACTATAAAAACAAATAACTATTTCACCAACAAAATTGAAATGGCAAATAAACACTCTATAGACAAGGTTCATAACCAAAAATGAAAGACAAGACTACAAAAAATGACCATAGCACAATAACACAATGGCGGGATGTATAAATACCGAGCCACGCCAAAAGTATTTTACCAAAATTGGACTAAACAGTAAAGGTTAAAATTATACAAAGACAAATAAAAAGAACACTATAACACGTAAGTAAGATTATAAACAACGTCAGTACCTAGAATCTATACTAGACCATCATGTATTATTTTTGAAGTTGATACGGAATATTTATCAACAAGGTCTTGGTATCTTCCGATGAACTTTTTCAGAAAAAGGACAAATTGTTTGACAACGATGTTATAACATATGAACTAGAACCAGTCGTATACCGATACGAATATGTAAACATTTTTATATTCAAATCTTAAGGATGTTCGCTACTCTTGTTTTTGACTTTTTGTCAGATATTCGGAATTATTTAGTTTTATCCAAGTAGTGCCAATAAGAAAATTTTCCCGCTAACCCTTTCTTTTTTTCTATAATTTTATCACATATAGTTTAAAAGGACAAATTAGAAAATCTTATGTAATGTTTTATATTTTTTCCTTAGTTTTTGAAACAATCTAGAGAGATTCATTACCTGCTATATTTTCAATTGGTTATATCTCATAAACAAGGATACGGACGTTTAACTTTTTTCTGTTTTTCATGTTTTGTTTTTTATATAAACTATCCATTTATAACAGTCTATTAAAAGGTTTGTTACTTTGAAACAGGAGCAAACACCCTCCAATATATTTCAACAGTTGATGTTGAAATAATATCATATGTTTACATGTAACTTTAAAATAGCATCAATGCAAAGCAACTACCATTATCTAATAACAGGATATGACAGTTAAATAACAAGCATTCAAGTACATAGAGTAAATAACATAACAAACCTATTATGCGTGTCTAATGTAAGTGCAATCGGCCTAGATTCATTAAAAATAGTGGTTAAATCGGATCCATCTGAATTACATCTCATAATTTTTCCTGAATATGTATACTCTGTCCAGTATAGATGACTGTTCGCTGAGTCAAATGCTGCGGATAATGGACTGTTTGTAGAAGAAACAACAATTTCAAAATTTAAAGTTTGGTCATTTGGATAAGGGAATCTGAAAAAATGAGAAAACTTTTTGTAAGCAAAAATATAAAATTAATATTGATTCTCGGTTGTTATACAATAACTGTTTTTTTTTACCAAACAGGTTTATGTATTTAATCACTTGTTTTTTTAAACTGTCTTTTTCTATATGATAACCCTGCTGTATGTGAAAAGAGTTATGCTTAGACATAAAAGGGCAGTTTTTACAATAATTCCTTTACATCGTTATCTGCTTTTCTAGTAGACAAACATATATTTTTGTGTAATTTTAATCTTCTTTTCTTTTGTTTTGTTTAGTGAAACAAGTAACATGCATTTCTTCATTGCAGCATATATTTTGTTTTATATAATAAAATATCAAGATAATTTCAGTCTGAAAACAGAAACATGAGAAACTAATTACTAATTACTAATTGACGGTACCTAACTATGACATTTTCATCAAGTCTTAGAACATACACATATCTTTCTTTCACATCGTAAGCTAATGAATATGCTATTGTACTTTGATTAGCTAGTTCTTTTACCACTCCTGTATCCAGATCTATCTCTTTCATTGTATTTGCAGTGGAGAACAACAGTTTGTCGCGTCTACCTGTAATGGCAAACTCTTGCAGATGACGTCATATAAAGAATAACTAGGAAATTGCAACTAGTAGTTGCAATACAATCTTTAACAAATGTACAGGAGTCAAAAAACGGTATCCACAATGTCGACTGGACTTTAAAAGAATGTTGACAAACAACATACATCAACATGTATCAGTGTACATCGAATAAACCAAATATCCGTTAGACCTTTGAAACAAATATAAAACAACATACATCCCAATTAAGACTGCAAAACACACAGCAGCACTTTAGGCCTTTGCTAGGATCTTCGGTAGATTTTGCAATTATATGTATATTGAAAAGGATTATCGTTGAACAAATCATTTATGTTTTATTAAAAAGGATTATTGAAAACAAACGAGTGTTATCATGTGACATTTTCTACGTTATGAAAACTTTATTTTCACGTTTGGTAGACATGTTGTAAAATAATTGTGATACTTCACTGAACTAGCATTATTCGTTTACTTCACGTATCGCAATAAAGGTGATGTCCTCTCACATTAATAAGAAGTTTGTTGAACACATCTATTTCATTGAACATGAAATAAAGGTTACCCGACCACATATACACTAAATATAAAAGTAAAACGATGCGGTATGATTACCAATGAGACGAATCTCAATTTGAGACTAAACTCCTCTTACAGTCCTTACAACAACGGTACAGACAGTCCGAATTTGTTAATGACCACCCTTAACCACATCAACCTATAAAGACAACGCCACGTCAATAAAATTTTATTACAAAACGCCATTTGCAAGACCGGTTTACGATTGCGACGTGGACTGCTTACCAAGTCATTAGATGTCATGACAGAGAGATTCACGCCATAAATGTATCTCTATACTGAAATGTCATATATAACGAATCGACTGCAGAAAAACCTTTTTAAGGCAAACAGTTTAAACTGCATAATTAACAAAACAGACAGCAATGCGTTGGACATAGGCAAACTCAGAAGGGACAAAACAGATCTCAAAACATGTCATACATAACTGCTTAACGTTTCTGTCAATCATTTATGTGTTGGTAACAATCAGTCCATGACTTCGACGGTAACACATCCATTGATAAGAAGCAAAACAAAGGTTTCAATGCGTACCACATAATTGGAACATTAAACGTGACGTAATAAATTACATTTTCGAACTGCACACTTTATATATATATATATGCTCGGGAAAGGTTTTGGATAAGAAAGCTAAGGACAGTTTCCCCAGAGGGCATAAATGAAAAAACATAGAATGAGTCACTCATTTTGCCTACCATCACTCATTTTCCTGACATCATTTGTTTCAAGTTACTCCGGCTTCCTTACTTGACTCTTACAGTTTTAAGGATTCTTTTGGAATATTTTGAATTTTACTAGTTTAAATACCAGGGTTCTTTTCATTTGTTAGGGATGTACAAGTATATATATAAGTGCCTATAAATAGCAACACATGACATACAAATCTATGGGAGTGTGGATTAATCAGTAGAGAGATTAATACAATTACACAAATAAAAATATAGAATGCCTAACAATGTAATTTTACACACACTATTTAGTATGTAAATATTAGAATGTTTAAAATATTTACAAAAAATAAAAAATAAACGCAATATTTCGCTAGACAAACTAGCTTTATCAAGCGTGCATCTATCCAGGTGAAATCGGATGTAGATGATAAGAAACTTTTGAAGCTCAATGAACATGTTGCACATGAATTTAGCTGCCTTGTAAATAATACATAATGTGGATGAAGTTCAAGATTATATACAACATTTGTGGTTGAAGTTTGCAACGTCCATTGTCCAATATTACAGGATAAAAAAGACGATGCTGTGTATTAAATTATTCTCTATCTTCCCTGTATCTCTTCTCGTCTTTTTCGTTAAGACCATCCGGTTATAAAGTGTGGAGCTGGTGGATCCAAAAGTTTTCTCTTCTTAAATAATTTAATACACAGCATCGTCTTTTTTACTGGCTTGATGATACTCTTGGAAAAGAAAAAAATAATCGGCAGTTACATCATTGCAGAGGTTGACATAATTATCAAAAATACCAGTTTGATACATTTGCAATTGTGTACACCGAAGTCAAAATTAATGAAGAGTTAAGGCGCATTGAAAATAATAAAAAAAAACTTAAGTTACGCCAAATCTTTTTAAAAACGTTTATCAATCTCTGCTTTCTTTACTGAATAATTTATGTTTTATGGACAATACATTCATCAAATGAAGTCATCTATGAAAAAACTTGAATATTACTTATCATTTTAAAGTTTAAAGAACAGTGAATATACACAAAAGGATGTCTCAATGATAGTTCATGTTAGTAAACTAGTGCCGACTATAAATGTACACAACGCTGGTAATACCAGCAGTGTCATCGGCCTTTGGTTGTACACACACACATACATCTTAACTACAAGGCTTATCATTGTGTTAGCTAAAACGTGCCTAGATGTAGGCAATCTTTAATTAATTGTACACACTCGGAGCGGAGACGGAATATCCACAAATGCATGTAATCCCATTGGCCATGGGTATGAAACCTCATAAAAAATAACAGTCTTATAATAGTGTACGCAATACGCACGTTTCGTCTACACAAGACTCCTAAACGACTCATCATAGTTAACATAACGTTGCTATATACGGATAAGGCAACCAAAACCTTATAATTGCAAGTAATTCAAGATTTTATAAACAATGAATTTTCATAATAAAAAGAATTTATCAATAATATATTATGTCAACACAAAAGTGCGGTGTATTGGTTTGGTGATACCTTCGGGAACAAGAAATCTCCAACAGTGGTATTAAAAAGGGGTTGTTAGAACTCATGAAAGATATATGTACCAGGCTTTCAATGTCACGCCAGACGTACATTTCAATTATATCGGACTGTTAAGTGGCACTTTAATCAAAACAGTTTGAAGGACACATCAAATATAGAATTGAAAAGCATTAATATGCAGAAAATTCCAGAAATACAGCTTAGGCAATAAATGCCTTCAGGAAGAATAACCTTGTATTTCGAGTAATTTAACTTTGTATAAAAATTCAATTTAAATGGAAAGAAAGAACATTTCAATTATATATCATGCCAACACAAAAAATGCATACTACTGGACTAGTGATACCCTCGGGGACGAAACGTCCAACAGCAGTAGAATATACCCAGATTATGTAAAAACTCAAGATACAAGGCTTATAACTTTTCTTTTTTTAAGTGGTACATGGCATCTTTAACATTTCTAATTACACTTTGTTTGTTTGCAGGGTTTATCCTTAATTTTTTTTCAACTAAAAACATACGAGGTTAATCAACCAACAAAGTAATAATAATCTGCAACTGTGTTTATAGTTATGTCAGGAAATGCAGTGAAAAGGGACATACGCTAATATTCACTCAAGATGGAAGCCATGAATAAAATTGTTTGCATAATAACTTGGAGCTTCTGTGACCGTGAAATAAAAATAAAATATAAAATCTGTTTGTCAAATAAATATATAAATTATCCATGAGGTACGAAATGGCAAACATATAAATCTGCCGTGAGGTATGAAACGATATACTTATTATTACTCCATGAAGTACGCAATGGCATACATATAAATCTTCCTTGAGGTACGAAATGGCATACATATAAATCTTCCATGATGTACGAAATTGCATGCATACAAATCTTCTATGAGGTACGAAATGGCATACATATAAATATTTTTGGAGGTACGAACTTGTCAAGGTACGAAATGGTCAGGGTACGAGATGGACTTTCCATGGGTAAATAATGTGGGACACGAAATGGTTAGGGTACGAAATGCCTGTAATTCTTCTATATATTTATATATATATTTTACTTTCAATTTAAGGAATGTAAGCGTTCCTGATGAATTGTAAATCGAGAAAAGTTCTTCGTTTCGGACACAAGTACACAGTGGATACTACTGGTGGACTTTTACGCAACGAGGTTATCATCAGCATAGTATTCAGATTCTTTGTGATAAAAAAAAATTAAAACAAAACTTTATAAATTCCATGCGTCCGAAGCGCTTTTCTGGATATAGCTTCATCAGTAACGCTCAAAGCCGATTATGTAAAAGTCTATGATGTACTATAAGTATTAAGAACCGAAACAGTTGAAGAGCATTATGACTAAAAAGGACCTAAAATAATAGTTAAATACATCAAAGGTCAACTTTGCTTGATGGAATTGAAACCTTAGTTTCTTAATAATTTCTAAATTTTCAAACCAACACTATGTGACAATGAGAAATTTATAGCATACAATAAAAAAAACTATCCGTTGACAGAACAAACAAATATATTTGAAAACTACAGTTCCCACTCCCTTGGACAAAATTGACTTTTTATGACTTTGACTGTTCCTGTTTGTCAGTTTTGTTCAAACAGGCGCTTAAAGGTTGCAATTCTGTAAATATAGACAATGCAATTTCCCATAGGAACTCTGTACCACTTTTACTATGAAGTTTCTTAAAAAAATATATCAATGGAATGGAAAGCTCATATGCACTACTATTTTTTTCAAAGGTCAAAATATAGGGCTGTGCAGCATATTTTCAACATTTATATGCCTCGAACTTCTAAGAGTTTAAACTTATACTAAAATTACGTACTAACCCTCTCTTTACTTTTGGCCTTCCACAGATTTTAATTTGTCCGCTATGCATGTGTATATTTACTGGTAACATTCCCAAGTTATGTCTCTACGAGATGAAACATAGAGATCATATCTGGGAACCAGTAGGTAAACAAAACAAAATATCTATGAATATTATATATCTCCCCAAATGAGGCGTGGTTTGTGAAAACAGCTGTATTTACAAAGTGCAACCCTAAAACGCACGAAATCTATCAAATGTTATTTTCATCTTAACACTTGACAAAATTGTTGACATTGATGAATTCAATAAAACCAGATGTTTCATGGTAAAGATAAATTACAATTTTTATAAGTCCATGTTGA